TCAGGGTTAAGGGAAAACTGAATGGAGCAAAGTATAGTGATATCTTCAGTGATAATCTGTTCCACAGTGCTCAGGACCTCAGACTGGGGCGAAGGTTCACCTTGCAACATAACAATCCTAAGTACACCGCCAGGTGTGCAAAGCTTTTCGTGCCATAACCAGCTGTAATTGTTGCCAAAAGTGCCTCAACAAAGTACTGAGTAAAAGGTCTGAATACTTTAAAGTATTACTAAACCCAGGACCCTGCATTCACTCTATCTGGTCTCCCACAGTACACAGAACATGGAAATGCAATTATTTTAGTAAATACAAACGGCTAAATACCTTTTCTCATCAGCAGTTAGAGCAGTCTTGAGACTTTAGCAGAGCACTGGTTAAAATTTGTAGGAGGCGTTTTCTTTCTGCTCCAGGAGGAAGCAAAACCCATGACCCTCTGTCTGGACAGTGCTGATTGGCCCTGTGCTGATCACATGCACTCTCCCAAGAAAAAGAAAAGAAAAAAAAAAACCTCTAGCAATACACACTAAACTGAACATGTGCATGTGACTATGGGTTCAGTCTGTCTTATCAGGTGGACATTTGAACAAGAGGAGGGGCAGAGAAAATAGGTCCAAACAGGCTTACACAATGTAGAGGTTTAACCCCTTAGGTTCCACAGTATAACGAGCATGCTTTACTGCATATACAGGCTGATTTTACTGTTGTGGGTTTAGTAACACTGTAAGTGCATGTGGTATTTAAATTTTTTCTTGTTAATAAATTCAGACATTTCTAAAATTTAACTTTGTCATTATGAGGTACTGAGTGTAGAATGAGAGGAAAAAATGAATTTGAATAACTGTAGTATCAGGCTGCAACATAGCAAAATTGAAAAAGTGAAGGGGGTCTGAATACTTTTATGAATGCACTGTATGTATAATATACCATGGTATGTGGAGTAGTAAGTGTTGGCCACAGGGTACTATACAGGCTCAGGGTCATTGACTGACTATTCCTATGACATGCTGTCCCTAAAGCCCCCCCCTCGGGGGTATGCCTACTATGACAGGTGAAGCATAGATAAGGTAAGAAAGGGCTGTGATTAGGTCCTGTTTTAATACATGTGGGATGTTACTCACTTTGTGTCATCCCTCTGTGTAAAGCATGACACTGCTATCTGTGCATATACGCAGAACTTTGTGGTTAATGGCTTGGTCTGCTGAGCCTGCTTGCAAAAGGTGTTTATTACACATGGCTTTTGATGGCAAATGCCTGTTTGGGAATCCAATGATACGTTTTAATCAAGGAAGTCATTTTGCATGTGTGTGGGGTTTTTTGTTTTGTTTTTTTGAGGGATAAAAATAAAATGGCTACCACTTCTTTTTTCTCCAAGTCCCTCCCTTAGCCAAAGGAGGTCATCCCTTTTATCACAAGTCTTGAACCCCAAAGCCCTCCAAACCTACCCAGAAGCCCTCCTCACAATGAAAGGGGCACCCCCTTACTGTGAGGGAACATCTGTTGGCATTTGCACCAATCTGGATCAGAGATGTCCAGGACCATTGGGTTCACTCTGTCATTTCCAGGGTAAAAAAGTAGAATTTCTCCAATCATCTTCCAGGGCAGCAACCTGAAATGATTGTCAAGCAGCTCAACACTTGGTTTCTGTGATCAGATGGCTGTGGTGGTGTTTTAGCAGAGCCTGTCTGTGTGAATCAGCAGGTCCCCCTGTTTCTTTCCTGGAATCTTGACCCCATGTTGTGAAGGGGGGAGGGCGGCAGCTTATCTGATGCTCCTGGCTTCTGCCCTGTGCTCCTCTTGGACCTTGCTCTGATGTCAGATGTCATTTCCGGCAAGCCAAAGTAAGGTATTTCTGGCCATGCCTTTTGTCTACAGCCCTCCAGGAGGGACATTGTGGGGGATGAATGCCTCTACCCTTTTAAACATGGCGGATTTGAAGGAAGGGAAATCTGTGCCTGTGGCTAGAGGGGAGACTGCAAGTTTTTGCAGCAGCATTGTTTGGTTGAATTTGCCCCTGAGAAGTTGCAGAGCAGCCACATGCTCCAAGCAAGATATCTTTGTCGGACAGTACAGAGTGGAGGTTACTCTTACAGCAGGACTTGAGGTTTGGCAGAAAAATTTTACAAGCCATGTAGGCTTGGATTTTTTGTTTTTCCTCTTAGGTTGCTACCCTGGAAGATGAAAGAGGGAAAACCCCAGTTAGACTTACCATTAACAGTGTTTCTAGTAATTTTCTAGGGTTACAAGCCTGCTTCCTACCCTGATATTGTTGGTGGTATTTTTGGAGAAGTTTTATCAAACATGAGGGAGGAGAGAGTGGGGAATTTTTTTTTTTTTTTTTTTTTTTTTTTTTTTTTTGTGTTTTTTCTTTTTACTGTTTCACATTGAGGTTGCTATTAAGGAGCAGCCAGTCATCTCAAAGGTTGCTGTCCTGGAAGATGTCTAGGTAAATCTTGCTTAAATGTGTTTTTTTTTTTACGCTGCCCCTATTTGATTCCTACTGTCCAATCTGCCTGCTTCATCTGGGAGATGGGCAGATATGTGGGCCACCTTGATTAACTTCAGGCGCCAGTGATAATCCCAGTTTAGCAGAAGAAAGGTTGAAAGGGTTTTACTCAAACGTCTGCACAGTCACATAACCATTGTAGGCATTTGTCCCATTTTGGACCTAAAATCCTGAACTGATATCTGCGTATCCCCAAAATCTGCACCTCAATCCTTTCAAATATTCTTTCATGTTAATCCCCCACTATTGTCCTCTGTGTCTCCATGGGATCTGAATCTTACTTTCAGCTCGTCAAAAACTAGAGATGTACACAATGGAAAGTTTTGGATTCATTAAGGTAAAATTTCATTTAGTCAAATTTGTTACTGATTCATTTTTGTAATTTCGTTTCCTAGATTTTATTTGTTTCGTATATTCCTTATTTTCGAATAAATTCAAAATTTATGTGCTATTCTGTTTTTTTTTTTTTTTTTTTTTTCCTATTCTGTTCTATTCTATAAAGTAGCTTAAGTAGGAATGGCCTTCATCTTATTTCACTTTTATATCTTGCTGTATTTATTGCAATATGTTTCCATTTCAAATTCATCTTCAGATTCGGATAATTCATTTAATTATAATTTATTTTGGATTTGTTGAAATTTGTTACTATTGTGATTCTGAAATTTGGATACATCGGAATCTCCGAATAACAAAAATTTTGTCCACATTTTGGTTCATAATGAAACGAATTGTACCTCCTTTTGAACTAATTCAGGATCTCTCATTGGAGGATCTCATGAGTAAAGTAGCCTTTTTGTTGACCATTGCCTCTGTCAAACGTGTCTTGGAATTGGCTTTTCCTGTAAGGAGCCTTTTCTTGTATAACTTAAGGACAAGGTGTTCCTGTGACCCAGACCCTCTTTTTCCCCTCCAAGTTGCCCTCTTCCCTTAAAACTTATTGAGGACATTGTCCTCCCTTTCCTATGTCCTGTCTGAAAAATGACAATGAGATTTCACTCCATTGCTAGCATGTACTGCTAAAGCAGTTTGGGTTTACCCTGCTGCAACATCTTCCTTCAGAAATACTGCGACTTTTTGTCCTCCCTGGAGGTGCCAAGAAGGCACATCCTCCATGCTCTTCCACCAATTCTAGGTGGCATAGGTAGCTCCTTTCCAGGGCTTATGCACTTAAGGAGCGGGTTCCTCCCTCCCACCAGATTGGTGTTTTTTGGGCCTTTCAGCATCAAGCATCTATTGCTCAGGGTTGCAAAGTTGCCACTTGGTCTTCTGTTTGTACAGAGCAGCAGATCTTCAGGTCTCTGCTGATGCATGCTTTGCTTACAAGGTGTTTCAGGCTGTCACCTGAGAGCTCTTTGAGTCTGTTGACCCTTGGTTTTTGTGGACCTGTTTGCTATGTTGTTGCCTACCGCTCAGTTTATACCTTGGATCGTTTCATGGAATATGACCTCTTGTTCTGTATGATTTCTTAATGGGAATTTTGACTTACCAGTAAATTCTGTATCTTGGATTACATTACAGGGTACCGGCCCTCCCCTCTGCCCTTTTGTATAATTGCTTGCTAAAAAAAAAAAAATTAAGTCCCACAGAATGGGTGGTGTCATGAGAATGCTCTAAGGGCATTCATAGCAAAGCTTTTGCTGGCATCCAGTCACCTAAAGGCAGTGGCATATAACCAATGGTCTATGACTTCCTGTCTTGTAATGTATTCCAAGATATGGAACTTACTGGTAAGTCAAAATTTCTATTTTTTCTTTTTTATCGCTTATCTTTTTCAGCTTTGTGGTGACCTAGAGTATACCTATTTGATAGCAAAATTTTAATTAGACAAAGCAAGTATTGTCTGCTGTACAATCTCTTTAGCTAATCCATGGTTATCTGGGAATCTCTTGTTGAATATTTAAATATTTTGTACTATGCGCATAATTTTGTGTTACAAATAAACCGTTATTACACAGTTTTAAAACCTAACCACTAAAATAAAAATTTGTAGTTGGCAAAACAAATATAAATTAGTATTTTGGGCTCTGGTCAATCTGTTATGTGCTAGAGAATGTGTTTTTCTGTGTCTCCCTAATACCAATTGGCTGACCGCAAAGGAGATTTATTGAGGTTTGTCCCTTTTCATCTGTGCAGCTCCTCAAGCGCTATCATTGGCCTCAGTTGCAGCTCTAGAAAACGATATGGCCTTCCAGAAACCTGTGACATTATACTCCTTTCATTGAATTATAATTTTGGAAAGTCAAAAAGGCAATTTACACAGCTAGAGCTGTAGGTGGTACACCAAGAAGGCAGTGAGATTTTACACAATGAAAGAAACCCAATAAAATCCAATTTAATCTCAAATTATAATACTGTAGAGCTAATTGAATGTCCAGCTTAACAAAGCAGTTAAAAATGTAGAAATCAAATTATCTATTAGGGTAGCCTGCCTATTATTTCACATACTGTTAATTTGATCATTTAATCCATATGTTTAACAATAAATCTTGCTTTACAGACAGGACAAAATGACACCATGTTTTACAGTGATGTAAGGTAAGGAATTTGTATGCGTGTATCTTATTTTGCTTGTAAAAAATGGGGCATCTGTAGCTTTATTTTAAAATGATTAGGGTCTGTATACTAATATCATATATAGTTGTGTGAAAAAGTACACCCCACAGCATTTTTTTTGAATAGGCAAACATTGGATCTTCATTTAAACATTGCCTACAAATATAGGTGGCATATTTGAACGAATAGAACATGAAATTAACATGGTATTTCTTCCCATAATCTAAATGAACAGAAATGCAAAACTTTAGGATACAAAGGTCCTACCCATGTAAGAATAATGTGCATGTCCAGTCCCCAATACAAATGAACCCTGCAAAAGCACCAATACCAATATAAACAAACTATTACATGCATTACATAATGCAACACAGAGAATAGTGCAGCGTTTAATCCTGTAGGAATGAATTCAAATAGCTAAAATTAGGATATAAATAGACAATAAATGTTTCAAATAATTAAATAAACATACATATAAGTAAAATCAAATTCACGTTCATGCACAGATCTAGGTGATTAAAGTACTAGTGCAACAAAAAAAAGTTTCTAAATAAAGTTGAACTGTCAGGAAAAAAGTTAATTATTGTTTTCAATTTTAATCTTTGTTGGCTTGACAGACTGGGCTCTTTATGACTGATTATTAATAGGCCTTCCAGATAAAATCGTTCCTATGTATATTATACATGTCATTTATGTCTAATGCATCTTGTTATTATTTAATACAATTGTGGCAGCATCCACTAGATGGCACCTGGAACGCCTTTTTGTTTAGCCATGTTTACCATACTGTGCATGACGTCATCATGCAAGTTTCGCTGTGACGTTATGACGCTTTGCGCTATTGGTATGAGGCGGCCATTTTAAGGGCCCAGTCTACAAAGGCATGCCAAATAAACCTAAGCCTACCTCTGAGGCAGCCGGTTATACTGGCAAAACTGGTCAGGAAGGGCCTCTCCACACTCCCAGGTCTCCTAAGGACACTCAGTACTGATCATGGTGCAGGCATCGAAATAACTTACTCTGACTTTGCTCTAGCACTATGAACTATGCATACTTTGAGGAACGTATTCATCAATGTGCACAAAGAGACTGTCCCTTCTATTTTCTAAGAATATGCCTACTCTGTTGTTATATGGGCCAGACCTTACATATGTATGAGGGAGGTTATTTCCATTTGAACCTTCTCTGGGATGGTGCCCCCAAATTGCTGGGTACCAGAGGGAGGTGATGATACCATCATTTACATATTTATTCAACAGTTTGTTTCCTCCTCTGGACTACATCCGGTCTGACTTTCCATCTGGGCTTTTCAATGGTTGTCCCCTACAGGAGTTACTTGGTTACAGTGTAAGAGGGAGGTTAGTGCTGATTATAGGCATTCACAGGATATCCTCCTCTGGACTACACACCATTACTTCTACATGGTTCCTAAACCATCTTTACGCAATACACGCCTCTTCTGAATAGCATAAAGTTGTGACATGAGGGACATCTCTTTGATGAGGATTTAAAGTCTTTCAATATTGGAATTTCACATGCTGAGCATTTTTGGTCCATATGGGAGAATTTGATGCTTATAAATGTTTTATTGATACCCCCTGAACAAAGGGGGTACAATGTGAGACCTGTGGAGTGTGGTGTTTTTGTTTTGTTATGCAATTAAAGATGTCTTTGTTTGAATTAAAGGAGTCGTTCATGTGCTTTTTGACCACCAGCCTTATTATTTAATGTATAATTTAACTAAGAACCCACTAATCCTGGTTGAGTCCATAACTAGTCATTTTAGTTTGGTTTACATTTGGATTTTTTGATTGGGGACTCCCAGATTACCAACTGTCCATAGACCTTAAGGCTTCTTTTTGGGAGGTTTAAAATCACAAATACATCTAGCAAATAACACGCACTCCTATCCACTCACAGATACAGATTGACATAGAATGGAGCACAAAATTCTTGTTGCAACTCTGTGCACCTGGAGGTAGTGGGAGACGCCAAATGTAAAAAAAAGTATTACCATGACAATATATGGTCCAGGAGCCTTGGCACAAATCTGTGGCCAGCTTTGATCTCCATGTTCCTGTAGGAGTAAACAGATCACTTCCACCCCAATTTATGGGGAGTGCTTGAATACAGTGCTTCAATGCCTATACTAATCAGGTATGAACCTGGGGGTACTGTTGGTCCATCCAAACATCTTAACACTACTGTGTCCTTCACAAATGATGCAGGACTAGACTGTGACATGCAGTCCTAAAATGTCGATCGAGCATACCTGTACATTCAGTGAAACTTCTGATATTGGCCGCAATTCATTTTCCTGAAGGAGTATACACTCACCAGCCACTTTTTCAGGTACACCTTGGTAGTACTGGGTTGGACCCCACTTTTGCCTTCAGAACTGCCTTAAAGTGTTAATAAACCCACAACAGTAAAATCTGTCTGTATATGCAGTAAAGCATGCTTGTTATACTCACTGTGAAACTTAAAGGGTTAATCCTCTGCATTGTGTAAAAGATGTTTGATCCTGTTTTCTTTGATCCTCCCCTTTTTCCATGTTTTCTATTTCATTTCCTGATAGAACAGAGACTCAGGGACTGCTAGAGAGATATTTCTTTTTCCTGGGAGGGTGCATGTGAACAGCACAGGGCCAATCAGCACTGCCCAGATAGAGGGTCAAAGGTTATGCAGTCTCATAGGGCAGTGAGAGGAGAATGAAAAAGTTCTACAAGCTTTAACCAGTGCTCTGCTGGACACTGATACAAGTCACAAGACTGCTCTAAATGCTGATCAGAAAAGGTATTTTGCAGTTGATATTTACTAAAGTAATTGCATTTCCATGTTGTGTGTACTGTGGGAGACTAGATATAGGGAATGCATGGTCCTGGGTTTAGTAACACTTTAATTCTTCATGGCATAGATTCATTAAGGTGTTGGAAACATTTTGGTCCATATTGACATGATAGCATCACTCAGATGCTGCAGATTTGTCAGCTGCACATCATGAATCATTGATACAAGGTAGGATGGATCCACACGTTCATGTTGTTTACGACAAATTCTGACCCCGCCATCTGAATGTCGCAGCTGACATCGAAACTCATCAGACCAGGCAAGGCTTTTCCAATCATCTATTGTCCAATTTTGGTGAGCCTGTGCAGAAGTTTTCCCCTTCTTCACCTGCAGCTTTTTGAGACACCTCACAGGTCCCAGAAGGCTGCAGAACCATTCACAAAGCGCAGCATGGCTCTCGTTTGTGCAGTGGAAAACAGGCTTTGAAACCTCAAGCTGTCAATCTGCATCCCACACATAAGATACCAGCGCTAGGAAACCAAAGACTAGTGCGGAACTAGCCCGGGTGAAGATGGCTCTGGATCCCTGGACAGGTAAGTGTCCTTTTTATTACTAGTCAGCAGCTATAGGATTTGTAGCTTCTGACTTTTTTCTTTTTTTCTAGAATGAAGAAACACTTTTAATGTAAAACAGATATGCATAAATGGATGTATAGACCTTAAAGCTCTATTGACCTTTAATTTGTTAGATTTCACTCGGAGATATATTCTTTAACACATTGGCACCATAAGAGTGTACATTTTGTTAACAATTTTGTTTATACATCAAGTTTTTATGATAAGACATGTAGATTGGAGATTTCTGATACTGTGGAAGATTTACCTTTTTTTGTGGTACATGAACCTGTAGTGGTGTTTTTTCTGGACACTTCTAATTGGATGATATATGGGACTGTTCTCATGTTTTTTTTCGCTTACAACCTAATTTTATAATGTATGGGATTGTTCATGTTTACTTCTCTGCATATGATTTTTGATGATTGTGTAATTTATAAGCTTTGCTGTTTATATGCATTTTTGAGTGTACATTTGGTAATTCCTAATAAGGAGCTCTTCACTGTTAATATGTATATATTTTTGAAAAATGTAGGCAACGTAGTTTTTTGCTGTTTCACAGGTGCACACACAATTTAGGTCTTGGCAGGTTTGGTATTGATTTACTGAAACCAACGCTATCTTTTTTATACTTTACCTAAAAATAAAAAATAAAAAATTTAAAAAAGGTTTTTTATATTTGTGTGCTAAAAAATATTTTTTTCCCTCTAAAAATATGCGCTTTATAGATAACTGCAAAAAATATTGCGTAACAGAAGTTGCAACTGCCACCATTTTATTCTAGAGGGCCGATTTTAGAAGATGTCTAATGTTTGGAGATTCTCTGTAATTTTCTAGCAAAAAAATAAACATTTTTAATGTGTGGAAATTGTAAAATTTTGCCCCAGCCTGAAGAGGTTAAACATATCAAAGCTAAATGGATGTGAATCTGCAACTGTTCACCTAATTTGTGTTTTTTCTCCTATTCAGGCCCTTGGTGTACACTGTGTCCATTCTGCTGCCCGCTGCTTATGTAATAGGGCTTATCTTTACACTCAAGACTCATTCTCATATTTATGATATTCACATCAGTGACTGCCATGGTAAGAGATCTTACAATATATTTGTTCTTCATTACCATTGATTTCATTAAATATTTTGCAAAGAATAAGCTGTATAGAACTTTATTTTTTGCTTAAACACAAAGATTTGTATGTGCTGCTTTCTTTTGCAAGTTGAAGGAAAAGCAGAGTGTGATTTTTGCATTTGTGATTCCAGTGACCACAGACAGATAGGGCACTCAACTCAAAAGCCACTCTGCAGGATGGCAATGAATTAGGCTTGGTTTACACCTATGCAGTTTTGCTTTTGATCCATTTTATAATGCTTTTTGCATTGTGCTTTGTGTATTTTTACAGATGCGTTTTTAATGCGTTCTGTGATTCCAGGTTATTTTTTTTTTTTTTTTTGCTGGTCAGAAAAACGCAAAATGCGGTAAAAACGCACTACATGCATTTCAGCAGCTTCTGCATTGAACTCTATTGTAGCAAAAACACTGCTTTTTTGTGTTTTAAAAAGTCCCTTTCCATTTCCAAAAATGCAGCAGCTCAGAAAAGCTTAGATGTGAACATTATTATTATTATTATTATACAGGATATATATAGCGCCAACAGTTTGCTCAGCGCTTTACAATATAACGGGAGACAATACAGTAACAATACAGTTCAATACAAGATGGAAAGGAGGGCCCTGCTCCTTGGAGCTTACAATCTAGATTGAACATGTCCCATAGAAAACCATGGTAAATGGACTGTAGTGCGTTTCTGCAAAAAGCACTAAAAAACGCATTGTTGTGAACCAGGCCTTAGTAAAATTCCTCCTTTTTAGATATTTGGTTGAGGTTGTTTCAGTAGCAAAAGTAAGACTAGTCCACTTCTGGTTAGGTATATTTTTGTTTAAATACTGGCGATTTTAAACAAAAGTGAACAAGTAATAATGGGTAGTCTATGTATCTTTTATGCTTACTTGTACCAGTTTTTATTATTTCCTTTTAGTGCCTGGCCACCATCATAGCCCTGTTGTTCACTGGTCTCGGTGGCGGGCAGTGATCATTCTCATTGGCTCTACTTTATTAATGGCGGCATGTGCAGATCTGGCCACTGAGCATATCAGTCCAATTCTTAAAGAAGCCACAGTGTCACAGGTAAGTGTAAAACCTAGTTAAAAGGTTAGCTCAACTTTAATAAAAAAAATTATCTGTACATCAGATTAAAGAACTTCTAGATGTTAAAGTCTAAATTGAAATAATCGACGGAGCTGGTCCACATGAACTGTTTCCTTCACTAACAGGTGCACTTGCTTGCCATCAAGGTATAAACTAGAAGGCATCCGCTCCATACAGTATATAGCAATTTGTTTCAGCAGTGAGAAGGAGACTTCCCGTCCTTTTCAGAGAACAAAATAGAGTTGGGCTAAGTGCTGCTCGGCCATTCAGATGAAGATTTGTATTCTCTGAATGAATACAAGACTTTTTCTTACTGGCTGAGGTGGAGATTATGTCACCAGTCCCCCCCACCTCCGCCAGGCTTTAATCTGCTGAAGTGGTAGTGTTCAACCTCTCTAGATATCAATATCCAAGACTTAGACCCAAAAGATTGTCTTTTCAGAAATGTATATCCTCTTATAGGCATAACCCCATGACAGAGAATGTTTGTGGGTGCTGTCTTTTTATTCACCCCATGTGTACCTCGCTGCCCTTCATGACCCCAGGGACATGGCATCGGATATGGGGTTATATTAACAATCTCCTGCTTTTGTTCTCCTAAAGAAGCAAACCATCTGAGAAAATCATATATGGTATATATTGTGACCAGCATCATTGTGCACACATATGCGATATGGAATATCAAAATTATAAGGAGATATTTAGGAAATACAATGTATATTGCAATGAAGATTTTTTTTTTTTGGGTGGGAATGCAGGTTTTAATTTAATGCATATTTAAATAAAATTGATATTGAAGTTTTTAACAGTTCTCACATAATAGTGAATGATATTGGTACCTTTTTAAAAGTCCCGCATATGTGCACATTGTTCCATCTATAGTTCACTCACTAAAGCAGCTCTTAGATTATGCAGCCTTCTTTCCTTCCAGGGGTGAAAGGAAAGATAAATTGCTAGATTCCCCCATCAACATAACTGTATCCCGCAGTGCTATTGGGATCTGCTGGCCTGGAACCTTTCCTGCAGGCAGAACACAATGATGAGCTGTCGGCATTGATCACATGAAAAAAATAAATCTTACAGGCTGATTGTACTGAAGTCTATCAATGGATCAACTTCAGTACAACCAGCCTACCCATAGATGAATAGAATCTTGGCCAGATCAGCAGGGATTTGATCCATCTGTGTTCAGTTTAAAGAATATTGGATACATCACAGTGCATTAGATTATGGAGGTTAGTAAGGGCTTGCTTTAAAGCTAATTTACTGCTTGTTAATATGTAAATACTTAAAGCCCACTTGAGCCTTCACTTTAAAGAAGGTAAATAGATTCCAAGTTCATCAAAACAGTTTAATGTCTTGCTAGTCTTTTATTTTCTACGCAGCCACACACGTAGTAGAAAAGCCTGACCTGTCCCCTGCCAGTAATTCCAGAGTGAGACCCCTTGCTCTCTGTGCAGGAAGCAGTGATCTCTCAGAGGTACAACACACCCCCTATTAAGTAAAAATGATATCTCTGTAGTCAACAAATCTGGTGTTCCGGGTCTGATGCACCTCTTGCTGAGTCACACCTAGAGCTCTTCAAAGAGGGTCAGGCACAGAGCTGGGAATTCCAGTACGGAGAATTCACATGATTGAGTCCTGGGTAGCGCCTGGGGTCCAAACAAAGCACATACTGCAATGTTTTTTATTGATTTTTGTGTGTAGTTTCTATGTATGTAAGTGTTTTTGTTTTTTCTCTCAGTATTTTATTGGGGTGACTGTTTTAGCATTGATCCCTGAGCTTCCTGAACTTGTTAATGGGATTCAGTTTGCACTGCTCAACAATCTAAGTCTAAGGTAAGTAGAAATTAGGCAGCAAATGTTTTTTTTTTCTCCATGCATATGAATCTATTCAGAGAGAACAGAAAAACTGCAGCTTATTATACATACAGTTGTGTTCAAAATAATAGCACTGTGTTGAAAAAAGTGAATAAAGCTCAAAATCCTTCTAATAGCTTTTATTTCCATACACACAAATGCATTGGGAACACTACACATTCTATTCCAAATCAAAACATGAAGAAAAATATATCAAATTTGTGTTGTTCCTCTAAAAAAAAAATTGAAGAAAAGTGAATATTAGACTGTTCAAAAAAATAGCAGTGTTTGTATTCTTCTTTACAAACTCAAACATTCACTATATAAATTGAAAATTGTTTGAAGATTTTGCTTTCCTTTGAATCACTTAATGAATATTTAGTTGTATAAGCACTGTTTCTGAGAACTGCTGTACATCTGTGTTGCATGGAGTCAACCAACGTCTGGCACCTGTGAACAGGTATTCCAGCCCAGGATGATTGGACTACATTCTACAGTTCTTCTCTATTTCTTGGTTTTGCCTCAGAAACTGCATTTTTGATGTCACCCCACAAGTTTTCTATTGGATTAAGATCCGGGGATTGGGCTGGCCACTTCATAACGTCAATCTTGTTGGTCTGGAACCAAGATGTTGCACGTTTACTGGTGTATTTGGGGTCGTTGTCTTGTTGGAACACCCATTTCAAGGGCATTTTCCTCTTCAGCATAAGGCAGCATGACCTCTTCAAGTATTCTGATGTATTCAAACTGATCCATGATCCCTGGTATGCGATAAATAGGCCCAACACTGTAGTATGAGAAACATCCCCATATCATGATGCTTGCACAACCATGCTTCACTGTCTTCACAGTGTACTGTGGCTTGAATTCAGTGTTTGAGGGTCGTCTGACAAACTGTCTCCGGCCACTAGACCCAAAAAGAACAAAAAAAAATAAGTTTTTACCAGTTGTTAAAGTGTACCCATAGTCAAAATTTACTTTTTATTTTCAATTCTACATTGTATTTGAATTAATTATGGCCTAACCCTAATAATCTGACTAATCTTTAGGTATGAAACCTATTTTGTAAATATCCTGTCACAAGTTAGCCTGCAGTTTCTTTGCTGTGTATTCTTACATCTTTGCTGCAGTGCTTTTCCTACCCTGATTCCTTTCATGTGTGATTTGGCTGTGCTCATCTATGGACATCGCCTGCTATTCTGTGGGTTTTATTTCCTTCCTTTCCATTACTTCCTGGCCTGCCTCCTAGTTTTCTTGCCTGTATAATCGCACATTGACTGAGCAATTTCATGGTTCTCTGAGCTTATGTTTGTTGCTACATCTGTATACTGTGTCTGACTACCTGTGTACTGATCCTGATTCAATCTCTGTACTTGTTTTCCGCCCGTCCTGACCTCAGCTTGTCTAATCAATTTCCTGTTGTCTCCTGCTGTTGTACTCTGCTTACGAGAGTGGTCTCCGCATCCTCAGCTGGGCATATCTGGGGGGCGCGACCTGATTCGGGCTTGCTGCAAGTCCATCCCCACCATCAGGGGCCCTGGTGAATAAGCAAGCTGGGGCTTAGACTCCATGCCCTGGGGAAACCCTGAGTTGGTGATCTACAAGGGCTTACTACCACAGACGCTTGACATATACCCACACATTAACTTCCTTGAATTCTGCAATGCATATTCACTATGCGCTATGAGTAGACACTGTTGTGTTGCGCAATCTAAAAGGGAAGAGCAAGTAATACAAAAGGTATCAACTGAGGGATGATTAGATGGTGAATGTAGTTCAGTTTTTAGGTGAATGTAGGATAGGCTTTCCTGAAGAGATGAGTTTTTGTGAGTCGCCAAAAAGTGGACACGGTATGAGATGATAAAATATAGGAAGAGAATGAAATGCAGTATATGAAATAAAAGGCAAATGTGTATAGAGTAGCGATAATATAATAATAGGAAAAATAAATGAAAGAAAAGTGTTAAGTACAGTGGGGAAAATAATTTTGATACCTGCATATTTTGTAAGTTTGCCCAGTTACACAAAAATGAAGGGTCTGTTAGGGCGATTGATGATTTTGTATTTCTTTCATTTGCAAATAATTGTTCCAACAGTTGTCTCCTTCTCACCAAGCTTCTTGCTGATAGTCTTCTAGCCCATTCCAGCCTTGTGCAGGTCTACAGTCTTGTCCCCGATGTCCTTTGACAGCTCTTTGGTCTTGCCCATGATGGTGATGAGGTTCTGTGGACAGGTGTCTTTTTTTTTTTTTTTTTTTTTTTTTTTTTTATACACGTAACGAGTTGTCATTTAGAAGCACCTTTATAATTTACAGGACTAATCTGTGTACAACATGAGTACATAGCCAGTCTGTGGAAGCCAGAATTATTTGTTGGTTGGTAGGGGATCAAATACTTATTTTACTCATTGAACTGCAACTCAATTTATAACATTTGTAACGTGTTTTTTTTTCTGGATTTTTGGTTGATATTCTGTCTCTATCATTTAAAATAGACCTATGATAAAAAATTATAGACCCTTCATTTCTTTGTAAGTGAGCAAACTTATAAAGTCTGCAGGGGATCAAATAATTATTTCCCCCACGGTTTAATATTGAGATGCTGGTATCTCTATAATTATGATGGGGTGTGAAAGATGAAAACTTAATTTGAATTGATTAGTTTTGAAGTGATTCTCTATAAAAGTGATGTTTTGTTACTTTAAAGGGTGGACATGCACTCACTGGCCACTTTATTAGGTACACCTTGCTAGTACTGGGTTGGATCCCTTTTTGTCCTTAGAACTGCCCTTCTTCTTCATGGCATAGTTTCAACAAGGTGTTGAAAACATTCCTCAGAGATTTTGCTCCATATTAACATGATAGCATCACGCAGTTGCTGCAGATTTGTCGGCTGCACATCCATGATGTGTATCTCCCATTCCACCACATCCCAAAGGTGCTCTATTGGATTGAGATCTGGTGACTGTGGAGGCCATTGGAGTACAGTGAACGGATTGTCATGTTCAAGAAATCCGTTTTTAGATGATTTGAGCTTTGTGAAAGGGTTCATTATCCTGCTGGAAGTAGCTATCAGAATATTGGTACACTGGCACCTGGTGTGGTCTTCTGCTGCTGTAGCCCATCTGCTTGAAGGTTCAACATGTGCGGTCAGAGATGGTATTCTGCATACCTTGCTTGTAACGAGTGTTTTTTTTGAGTTACTGTTGCCTTTTTATCATCTCCAACCAACCATTCTCCTTGCCTTTTTATCATCTGCTCATTCTCCTCTGACTTCAACAAGGCATTTTCGTCCACACAGCTGCTGCTCACTGGATATTGTCTCTATTTCGGACCATGTGTAAACCCAAGAGATGGTGTGTGAAAATCCCAGTAGATTAGTAGATTCTGAAAATACTCAGACCGGCCCGTCTGATACCAACAACCATGCCACATTCAAAGTCACTTAAATCCCCTTTCCTCCCAATTTTGATGCTCGGTTTGAACTTCAGCAAGTTGTCTTCACCAAGTCTAGATGCCTAAATGCATTGAGTTGCTGACATGCGATTGACTGATTTAGAAATTTGTTGCCAAACAAATGAACAGGTGTACCTAATAAAACTGCCAGTGAATGTACTTGTCATACAGTGAAGGAAATAAGTATTTGATCCCCTGCTGATTTTCAATGTTTGCCCACTCAAATAAATGATCAGTCTAAAAATCGAATGGTAGGTGTATTGTAACACTGAGAGACAGACATGCATTTCTTTTGAATGTTCTGTTGCTATTCTAACAAATTATGCACTGATTTGCATGTTAATGAACGAAATAAGTATTTGATCCCCTTCACAAAACATGACTTAGTAGTTTGTGGCAAATCATAGAGGTCAGATGTTTCCTGTAGTTGGCCACCAGGTTTGCACACATCTCAGGAGGGATTTTGGCCCACTCCTCTTGGCAGATCCTCTCCAAGTCTTTAAGGTTTGGTGGCTGATGATTGGCAACTCGAACTTTCAGCTCCCTCCACAGATTTTCAATCGGATTAAGGTCTGGAGATTGGCTAGGCCACTCCAGGACCTTAATGTGCTTCTTCTTGAGCCACTCCTTTGTTGCCTTGGCCGTGTGTTTTGGGTCATTGTCATGCTGGAACACCCATCCATGACCCATTTTCAATGCCCTGGCTGAGGGAAGAAGGTTCTCACCCAACATTTGATGGTACATTTCCCTGTCCATCGTCCCTTTGATGCGGTGCAGTTGTCCTGTCCCCTTAGCAGAAAAACACACCCAAAACAGAATGTTTCCACCACCATGTTTGACAGTTGGGATGGTGTTCTTGGGGTCATAGGCAGCATTCCTCCTCCTCCTGAGTTGATGCCAAAGAGCTCAATTTTGGTCTCCTCTGATCACAACACTTTCAACCAGTCCTCCCCTGCATCATTCAGATGTTCAGTGACAAACTTCAGATGGGCCTGGACATGTGCTTTCTTGAGCAGAGGGACCTTGCGGGCACTGCAGGATTTCAATCCTTGTTGGCGTAGTGTGTTACCAATTGTTTTCTTGGTGACTGTGGTCCCAGCTGCCTGGAGATCATTGACAAGATCCTCACGTGTAGTTCTGGGATGATTCCTCACTGTTCTCATGATCATTGACATTCCACGAGGTGAGATCTTGCCTGGTGCACCAGACCTAGAGAGACTGACAGTTGTTTTGTGTTTCTTCCATTTGCAAATGATTGCACCAACTTTTGTCACCTTCTCACCAAGCTGCTTGGTGATAGTTTGGTAGCCCAGTCCAGCATGGTGTAGGTCTACAATCTTGTCTCTGACATCCTTGGACAGCTCTTTGGTCTTTGCCATGGTGGAGAGTTTGGAATCTGATTGTTTGATTGCTCCTGTGGACAAGTGTCTTTTATACAGGTAAAAAATTTAGATTAGCAGCACTCACTTTAGGAGACTGCTTCTAATCTCAGCTTGTTACCTGTATGAAAGACACCTAGTAGCCAGAAATCCTGCTGAATGATAGGGGATCAAATACTTCTTTCCCTCATGAACATGCAAATCAGTGCATCATTTGTTAGACATGCATTTATTTTGAATTTTTTGTTGCTATTCTGTCTCAGTGTTACAATACACCTACCATTCTATTTTTAGACTGATCATTTCTTTGTGAGTGGGCAAACATTCAAAATCAGCAGGGGATCAAATACTTATTTCCTTCACTGTATGTAGGTCATAATGTCATACTCACCGTGTTTTAATGACTTATTTAAAACCCCCCTGTAGCAGAGGAAGAAAGAAAAACCTCCAAAGTGTGTGTGTATCTTCTAAATTATAGTTATTGGATTTATGTTTAATATATAATTCAGTTGTGTTAATATATGCAAAAGAAAAGAGGGTAGAGCGACAATCGTGCACAATAAAACACTTTGTTGAGGATGTTAAGAATTGTGCAATAGCTGATAGAATGACTCTCCACCAGTGAACTAGGAAGTATAGTGACAGGCTCCCATAGTAGCTGGCCAGGCAACTTGTCATTGTTTGCATCCATTCAGAAGAGACACACTGTGGCTGCCTGTGTCGGCTGTTAAGCTGCAGTCTCCCTGGGTTGAGCCTCTGAATTGGCCTGCTACTGCGGGAGTCCATCACAATATTCCCTGGCTCATTGGTGGGGAGAGTGAGTGCACCGAACTCACCATTCTGTCAGCTACTGCAGTGGCCCATTTTCACATACCCTAGCTTACTGGTTTCTTACAGTGAGTAGCTGGGCCTTTTAGCTACTGTGGGAGATTGGTTCTGCATTCTCCTTCTTACCGGTCTCCTAGACCACGGTTTCTCAGCCTTTTTTCAGTCAAGGCACCCTTTAAAATTATGGACAGTGCCGAGGCACCCCATTCTAAAATGCAAAAAAATCTAGTAGTTTTATATAACACAGCAACATCCACACATGTAGGACACCCAACATTAAAGGTGATTTATTCTTCCAAAGCAAATACACTTTTGCACACTGGTACTGACTAGTATTCCAGTGTTTCTCTTCTCTCCATCACTGAGCTAATGTGACCCCAGCACTGATGCAGAGGGGCAGGGGAGGGTAAAACTAGGATGCTGTGCAGGCAGCTGAGATACTCCTTATCAACTAATGATGTAATTGGTTGTCAGGACACCGGTGGCTAGAAGGTCATAAAGGTGCACAATGAAAACCTGTGGCTTTGTGTAACTAAAAGGCAGGATTGTTCCACCCGCTGGCTTGTATACAAGTTTTGGGCAATTTTTAAACATTTTGCCAAGGCACCCCTTAAGAAACCTCAAGGCACCCTGATTGAGAGAGGCTGTCCTAGACGGTATCAAGTGTTCACACTGCACTATGGGCACAGGTGTTCAGTGCCAATCATTTACTGACAAGCAGGAAGTTCTCAAAGGCATTATCTCCTTAGGATTTATGTGAGTACAATTATTAGTTTTGTTCACCTTTTTAATAAAATGTTTTATTGCACAAGATTGTTGCGCTTCCCTTTTTTTTCCTCTTCTTTTTTTCACTTATTACATGCATTACCTTATGCGTGGGATATCAGATAACTTCATTAAGACATCAAGATCTGTGCTTAATATAGAACTCTGGTCTTCTATGATTTATGGCTGTGGATTTCTGTGTATGATGTATCAGAGTGTAAGCTACAAGTTTATGTTCAGTGTTAATATTTACAGTTTAGTTCTGCGTCCTTTTTCTAATGGAAGAACCCTGTTTTCTCAGCATCGAGATTGGAACTTGCATTGCGGTTCAGGTGTGCATGTTGCAGATTCCCATACTGGTCCTATTCTCTGTATTTTATGTAAGTACAATTTTTTTGTTATCTCACTACGATCACTTCCATAGTGGTCACTCTTTGTTGAAAAGGCAGCATTGCGCTTTTTAATTGTGTATTTGGCAAAGCCTGTGCTTGGTCTTGGCTTTACAAATCATTGATCCTCATTGAGCATTTTTTACTGAGAAATTCAGAAAAGGTCTACAACATGCCCCAAAGCCCCTCAGCGCTGAGTGTATTTGTACATTTTGGAACATTTCACAGGTAGCAATCATGTTCAACATTGAGAAGTTAACACATTTTCTTATACAAATTAAAATGAGGTCACTTATTGTGTAATGTACATATGCTTTTCACTTCTAATTTTAAACTTGGTAATAATTCAGAACTAGTTCTTTAGAGATTGGCAAAGCTGATAAATACTGTACGATCTTGGCTTACTGGGTCAGTCAAACGTTCTCCTCTAAGCAGTTGGGGGATTTTTATGTTGGCCATTGAATTAGGTGCTCCGCTGTTGCAATACTTATCTGCTTAAATCTGAGGTTGTACACTACACTTATCATACAAACCATTCCTTGCCTGGGTCATACAGAGAATCCAAAACTCTAAAAGCATTTTTACTTTTGCAGCCAACAGGATTCGTTCTGATTTTCAGTGACCTTCATCTTTGGGCCTGTATGTTCAGCGTGATTCTGATGAATTATATCTTCATGGATGGGAAGTGTGATTACTTTCAGGGTAAGATGATTGCTGCTATTTAGTTGATGCCCAAGCCTACAATATAATCTGGTTTCTACACCTTGTTTCTAGTTGCGTTTTTTTTTTTTTTTTTATTTTGTCTGCAACTTCTTTATTGTTTATTATTTAGCATATGTTGTCTACATGTACCCTCCCCATTTTTTACAAAATTACTTCCCATGTCAAAGTTGTACTAAGATTTTTAAGGTGTGTTTTGTAATAGGATGCTTTTCTCGATTTCTTCTTTTCAACTCTGGAGACTGGAAATATAATGTAGCTAATATAGCGGATATTGTAGCAGTGTCCTTATGATCTGTGTCTTCCTTCAATGACACGAAGTTTGCCAGTACCGTATGCTGAAAAACCGCTCCACACTCTGATGTTCCCACCTCCAAAATTCACTGTTAGTATGGTGTTTTTGGTGTCATAAACCATTTGGTGCCATTGATCTCCAAACCTGGTGTGTATTATGGCATCCAAAGGGTTCAGTTTTGGTCTCGCCTGATCAGACTAGACTCTCCCAGTATTTCACAGGCTTTTCTAAATGTTGTGCAGCAAACTTTAAACAAGCTTCAACATGCTTTTTATAAGCAATGGAGTATTGCATGGTGAGTATGCATACAGACCATGGCGGTAGAGTGCATTACTTACTGTTTTCATTGAAACCATTGTACCTGCTAATTTAAGGTCTTTCTGAAGCTCTCCACAAGTGGTCCTTGGCTCTTGGACAACTCTTCTGGTAATTATTTTTATTCCTCTGTGAGGTTTATGGTGAAGTGAAGTTATTCCACTTCTGTATTATGCCCTCAACAGTGCTCAGTGCCATTAGTATGTTTTGCAACAATAAGGCTGCAAAAGTCTTGAGAGAGCTCTTTGCTTTTACCCATCATGAGATGTTTTTTGTATGACACCTTGGTAATGAGACAACGTTTTATAGGCCATCAGTTGATATTAATTTGCACTGGCAAGGGGCAGGATTGGTTTCTAATTACTGAAAACTTCAGCTGGTGTCTTGGCTTTCCATGCCTTTTTGCACCTCCCTTTCTTAATGTGTTCAATACTTTTTTTCGTGTGTCATTCCATTTTATTATACATAACTTAATTTCTGAACTTATTTGTTTTTGTTTTTTATGTATGGATTGCATGGGTTGTTACCGACATATGTCAATAGCACCTTTTAGAAAAATATTTACTGAGAACAATGGTGACGTGTTCAATGCCCGCTGTATGTATGACTATTCATAGGTTAGCTATGCACATGGTGGGTTTTGTGTTTTTATATTTTTTTCATAAATGTTTAAGCTAGCTGTTAATTGTAAATGCATGGATTTTCTCTTTGTAGGCACTGCCCTGGTCATGGTTTACTTCATACTGCTGGCCATGTATTTCTTTGCTCCATCTCCTAGTGGCTGCTGATGAGGATGCTTTCACTACATGAGAACTGGAGAAAAGTGACTGGACATTTTCATGACTTGTATCACTGGATCAATTTCAATATATATTACTGCTGCCATATCACTGGATCAATTTCAATATATATTACTGCTGCCGTTTCTGAACAAACAGGTTCTCTACTGGTGAAGTTTTAGTCACATTGTTACAGCTTCCTTTCTAAAAGCCTTCTTAATACAATAACACTCCTCTTCCTGCAGTACTTCTTATTTATAAACACATATACAGAAATCGTGCATTACTTGTTATTTATAGACTTCTATATACAGAAGCAGAAAGATGCAGTACTTTTGTGTACATCCATTGCAGAATACAAAAATGACATTGACTGGCCTGTCATATGAATTCTACAATATACCTTTTACAAGCAGGCAGGGCACTTGTTATATCAGCACACACTGACTGGCTTTTAAACGGATCTAAATGATACCTGCATTAGAAGGCAGCTTGTAAAATCACTTTAGCACTATGTGTCCATTGGTTTGTGCCATTGTCCTTCTTAAAGTCTGTGCAGGAGGGGCAGAATGTCACCAGTCTGCAGGAGGGGCAGTGTCTCACCAGTCCGCAACAGTAAAAGAGGGGTCTGATTTATGTATTTATTTTAATAGATTAGAGGAAATGTTTTGACTGTTACCACAACAAGCACTCATATTTCATTATATACACAAAACTGATGGCCAGTGACAGCAACTTCGGTTTTCATCTGCTACACATCACTGTACTGCTCTGAGTTGTATAACTCTGAGTGTGGGGAAACCATGCAGACAGTACGATTTTTAAAAAAAAAAAAAAAAAAAACAAAACAAAAAACCATGAAGCCTAAGTTGCCATGCTGGACACGTCATGGGGGAGGGGGGCTTTGACTGGTTATGCAATTTACACTGTATGTAAACCGAAAACAAAAAATAACTTCTGTCCTACAGTATGTCCTTTTTTAATAACTATACTATTTCTTGGTGTTAAAGATGCGGTCTATATATAATATAATTTTGTTTTTTCTACTCTAAGATTAATAAAGTAAACTGAATTGTTTATAGTGGCATTGTAAATACAGTATTTGATATTAAAGGGCCATTTCTGGAAAGCTGTTCACTAGGTCAAAGCTAATTTCCACTGTGTGACAAAAATACAGTGAAGTATTGCTATCCCTCAATACAAGAGCTAGACCATATACATGATCTACTGCAAAGCACTTCCCTTTTACACTGCTTGGTATTTTATCACAGAGAAATAAATAAATCTGTACATGTAACGGTTTTCCAACAGCAATCAGACAGCTAAAATGTTACAACTATTCCTTCAGAATAAAATGGGGGAGCTTGGCACTGTGAGGATGGCCTGCATTTTGCCTAGACTTGGAAAAAGCAGTATCTACAGTATAAAACTGTATCTCAACCTCTTATATTTTTCCCGTGAGACAGATACAAGATATTTTGGGGGGGGCAGTAACAAATGGCGACTAGGTTCAACCTTGCATTTGTACAGATTTCTTTTTCATAAAACCAGCATTGATCCTTTGCCCAAAGCGAGCTAAAATGTGCTTTCTTCATGCAGCATGAAGCAACAGATATGTCACTAAAGTTTAAACAAAACCATTAGACAAACTTTAGCTTTAAATCATAACTTACCTGTAATGAAGTATGCCCCATTTCATGCAGGCAACTGATCTTATAAAAATCTATGCAGAGATGCCCTTTCCTCTTCCTGGTGCTGAATGTCTGGCATTATGATGGTTAAAGTGGTATTAAACCCAAAAGCAAACCTTTTATTATATTGTAGTTTATTCTTAGATGTGATGGCTGTATTCGTTTTTTCTTAGGCTTGCTTTTTGCTATTTTAATCTGGTGATCTGGACAGTAAGTCTGATGTATTCTGCTAGAGAGCTTGAGCTTGGAACAGCAGTTTACATGGATGAGAGACAAACCACTTAATGCTGGAAGGCAAAAGAACAAAGTCCAATCATCCAAACTGTTGCTGTCCATTAAAGAGAGTTAATGCAGCTGTATAATAAGCCATTGGAAGCCAGCATGGATACTAGATGAACAAAATAAAAAAAAAACAGTGCAAGCAGCTTGCTATGGGGGCATCCAAGCAGGCTTGCTCCTGAGCTGCTGCTCTGCTTGTCTATTCATACACACAACGCTACTTGGCCCCATCCTCCTCTCTCCTCATTGGCTCACTGGCTGTGATTGACAACAGTGAGAGCCAATGGCTAAGCCAATGAGGAGGGAGAGTCCCAGGAGGGCCAAGGCTCTTGTGCACATAGCTGGATTTTGATGGGGCTCACGTAAGTATTAGGGGGACTGCTGCACACAGAAGGTGTTTTTTTTTTTTTTTTACCTTTCATGCAAAGAATGTATGAAGGTAAAAAACCTTCAGCCTTCACAACTACTTTAATAAAAAAAAAGAAGAAAAAAAATTTTTAATGATTCATAAACATAATTTTAGTATTTGTATGATTATTATTAACAGTTAGGAAATCCTATGTGTGACATGGTGAGATCTATGAATACCACAAGCAGGGGAGGACTGACCATTTGGAAACTCGGGCACTGCCTTAGGGCCCGGGGTCAGTAGGGGGCCCCATGAGAGGCCCCTGGTACCTTTTTCATAGGCTTTTTTGAGTTTGGGCAAGGAGACAAGGGCCCCATGAGTTGTCAGTCCGCCCCTGACCACAAGGTAGCTGTTGCAGTTCAAAAAATTCTCTGTGGGAAAGAATATTAATCAATGGCAATCCAGGTTCCACTGAAAACAAGCAGAATGTTTGTGTACAAATCTTTCAGGGACCACAGGATATACCTGGGTAATAGGCAAAGGAAACGTGTGTGTGTGTGTGTGTGTGTGTGTGTGTGTGTGTGTGTGTATAGACCAGAGGGAACACCATGAAGGGAGAATATTATTTGTTCTTATTTCATATTAATTATTAGTCATTATTTTTTCGTTTTTAATCGGGGGCAGTTTTGCACTGGCAGGGGTGATTAAAATGATCAGCTTTTATTTATTCATGTAAAGCCTTTATCCCAAAAGAGGAAAAACTGTGTTCATTCCTCCAGAGTTGTCTTACTTATACAGGAGATGATACGGGCCAGATTATCAGGTGAAAACAGAAACCGCCTAAAAAAAGAAAATGAATGCAGCCACCACATCTGTTTGGTAAGCTGCAATATAATACATTTTTTAGTTTGGGGTTTAATACTTATTCACTGCAGTTCAGCCTGAAGATCCAAACCTATTAAAGATGATCTGACAGGGACCCACTCCCTCCTCCACTGCACTGAAAAAACATCTTTCATTGTTTTATACTGAATGTAACATGATCCCTGAACGGATTAGAGTAGGGGTAGACAGCCTCAGAACTCCAGCTGGGCTAAAACTACAAATTCCACCATTTCTCTGGGAGTCAGTCATGGGCTGTGTCTTGCAATGAGTCAAAGGATTTGTAGTTCCACAAGAGCTAAATAGCCAAGGTTGCCTACCCTTAGGGGTAAAGAATTTTGTCATTCATCTGAATTTAATGCCCCCTTCCTCCCCAGCAGCACATACACTCCTTTAATTCACCATACCACACACAAAGGAAAACATGTAATTCTAAAATGTGAACTTACCTTTTAAGGCTATGTTACACATGTATTTAGGATGTAACATGTTCCAGCACCCCCTGAGCCACCTTTCCGTGACAGTAGGCGGTGGTTCTTCTCCCCTGCAGCTGCTGTCACATTTAAAACGGGCACCTTTGTGTGGAGTTCTACCCACACAGCCGCTTCATTCACTCATAGGGATCTGTCACCACAGCAGACTGCTTGTAGTTTTCAGTGGGCTTACCCCTGGTTTACATTAGTGTGGGCTGTTAGCCCACGTTTGCACGGGCACAGCAGCCCAGTCATTTGAATGGGTTGCTGTGCCACATTTCACATCCGCATGGAAACTGCATGGACTTTTTGACCATGCGGTTTCCATGTGGTTCCCGCACCTGTGATCGCGCTGCGGGAGGAGATGTGTGGGGGTGCCATTCAGGTCTTGCAAGAGAAACTCAATACAGGTGCAGAAATTGCATGGATATTTGCAACCATCTGGCCGTGTGCACTAATAGGAGCACTTGTAGTCCATGCACTCTTCCTCCAGCTTTGTAACTGAAGGCCTGAATAGAGGTACGGGCAGAAAGATTGAGAAGAGTATGCAGGCTCTTGTAGTAAAAATAATAAATGCACCTTTTTTTTTTTTTTTTTTTTTTTTTTTTTTAATTCAGTCCTGCAAAAAAATTTGTATTTATCATTTTTTCCTTAAAGGTAAATTTAGCCTTTTGGTCACTCTACTCTGAGGATTCTTTCCAATTTTAACATGCTAGCACTGAGAAATTGTCACATACCTGCTCTAACCAGAGAAAGGGTAGCAAATCACAGGCTCCTCAATACACAGAAGTGCCTAATGAGTGGAATGTTAGGAAAAACTTTAATAAACGTGCCTATGAAGGTTCTCATTTATGTAAGTCAGGGTATAACTAGTAGACATTGGTCACATTCAAATAGACTTGTGCTGCAATGTTGAGGATGCTTTGTAGCATCTCTAATCCATTTCTTCAGTTCCAATGTGTTTCAGGAAAATACCCCAGTCTGTTGATGCCTTAGGATATTTTAGTCCATGGAATATAGTAGTTGTCCACAAACAGGATGGGAGATTTGAAAGTTGAGGAACCACACTGTTCTAGTTACATAGACCCCATTGTTGGTGTTGGAAAGCCTGCAGAGGTGTCCTCAATTTACATGGCTAAATTGCTGGGTTATAGATGTTAAAATGGCATTATCCATAGAAGATACTGTATATGGTTTTACAATTCCCCTACCTCAGTTCAGGGATAGTTGTTTTATTTTGATGTAGATGGTCTCTTGCAAACTAGTTGTCCTCTTTTCCAAAGTGTGCTCCTTACTACCCCATTTTCTTAAAGTGTAGGAAGACTGCTGAGGCTT